TTTTTTTTTTTCTACCTATGGCTGCAGAAATCCAAAAGCATCTTCCTTGCTTGAACAATTTCATCAAAAAAATCATCCAATTGTCCAATAATATTATCAGTACCAGATCTCAATACACCAAAACAGGCTTTCAAATTATCAACTCTTTCCTTTATCTCAATTTCTGATTCCCATTCCACAACATTACTACTATTACTCTGTCTTTTCTCCAATTCATCTCTTAATTCATCCAAACCTGATTTTGATCTTCTAAATTCATATAACAAAACCCCCATTGATGATGACATCATTTCATTAGCCACTCTCTGTTGCAATCTTGAAATTGAGATCATGAAATTTGATCCAAAGAACAAACACTCTGAACTTTTTCCTCCTCTTAAAAATTCAGATTGTGGCCAACAATAGACTAATCCATAAAGCAACATCATTAATAAAACTGAACTTACATTCCTCATTGCATATAAAACTCCTCTGAATCCATTGAATCCATTTAGCTTTGATTCCACTGAAACTACCTCATCAAACCTTAATGATAGTGGCTCTATTCTTGTTTCCATTAATGCTTTATTCTCTTCCTCTAATCCCACTGCTTCTCTTTTACATCCTGTTATTGCTCTTATCACCTGTTTTTTTTCCAAGAAAATCAGTACAAAAATCAAGAAAATACCCAAAAATATAATTGATTTTTTGTTTTTTACCTGTCTAGATAATTGTGTGGTGAGATGGGGATGGGTATCAAGAGAAGAAGTGACATTAAAACCAGCAGAATAGTAATTTTCCATTCCTGAAATGCCATTCTTGAGAACATGACAAACTTCCCAAAGCTTAGAACTTTCATCCATATATTCATCAAGCCATTTTTCACCAACAGGTAAATGAAGTTTTTGGACAAGAAGTGTTAACTGTGTGTGGAAAGATCTCAAAAGGGAAAGTACACTTTGAAGGAATTGAATAGACATGAAATTATTAGAGAGAAAAACTCTTTCAAGATCATCAATTCCTCTTGTTAAAAAACTGTAAAATCCATTCACAGAGTTTGAAGAATCCATCATATTCATATTCATATTCATAACAAGGATGGAAGTAGTTTTATTAAATTATACAAGATATATATATTTATATTGTTCAACAAGGGAATGAATGTCTCTTAGAAGCTCAGGTTTCTAAAAGAATTGTTGGGAGCAATGATGAGTGTTTCCTTTCGAGGGGAAATGATCATTCATAATCTGCCATTTTCAATGTTTAATGGGCACAAAGGAAGCTAAAGAAAAGATCAAGTTTTTTTTTTTTTTTTTTTAAAAAAAAAAAAAAAAAAAAACTTCCCCTTTGTATTAAAACAAACAAAGTGTGAAAGAATGAAACAGGCTAAAAAACATGAAACTGTCATGAACTTATTTAGCTCTCTTCCAATTTCTTCCTTTTTCTTCCCCACTTTTGTGCCCCTTTATCTTTTAATGCTTTAAAAAGGAACTCTTTTATGGATAGCATAAGCATAATACTATACAATAATATATTATATAGTAAAAAGGGTGAGGAGCTAGCCTTAGTGGTTTCTCTTTAATCTTGATTTAAATATATTCATTTGTCCATTTACATAAAATAATCAAACATAAAATTTCAGTAATTTATTTTTTAAGTGTGTGTTTGCATGCTCAATGATGTAAGATAGAGTTCATTGGGTAGAATGGCAGTTTGTGATTTGGGTTTTATTTATTTATTTCCCTTGGTATTCAGTAATTGTATTGGGGCTCGACTAAATTTCGCACCGTAAATTCACATATTAGGTCTAACAAAGATAATTATATTTCAAGGGTTCAAACTCAAGATGATGATTAAGGATAAAGGAGTATTTATCCCTCTACCACATTTGTTGTATTTAATGAACAACAAATGTAGTAATTCTTTCTTTAAATTTGGTCATATGGGTAATGAAGTTCTTTTGATTTTAGTGCTTTATTTGGCTTCTTCCTTCCTCTTTTTCTTCCTCGAGCAACTGACTTTGTTTCCTTTACTTTTGGTTCCTCCCTTGTAGATATAAAATCTTGATTTTACATTCCTCTTTTTCGTTTTCATGTTCCTTTTAAGGGGATTTAGGAAATGATGTGCTTCTTTATAACCTTCTACTATGCAAAAATTCAGTCTTTTTAGGCCAAGTAATTCTCTTCTCCCTAGTAGACTAGAGGTACAAAAGGCCAATGGTGGTAATTAGTTGAATATATTTTCTCCGAAAATTAATACAGTGTATGGAGATCAAAAATCAAAATTTTAAAAAACCTTAGTAAAATTTCAAGCTTTAATGTAGCTCACTCTACTTCTCCCAACATCCCAAGGCAACCCATCCCACACAAAGGCAGACGCAACCTTGGTACAATGAGTTTAACTAACTTTAGTATTTTTAATATGTGGATGTGAAAAATAATTAAAATCATAATATTATTAAATTATAAAATCAGAATCATTGCTGACTTAACAGTAAGGTCGGTAAAGCAAATGCTTTGGGTTCCAAAATTTTGGGGCTTCAAATTACTAGTAGAGATTTATGAATTAATTTTTTAAAATTTGAGTTTTTTAAATAAAAAATTTTATTTTTAATAAATAAGAAAAAAGAAACTTTAATTAATTGCTAATAACTCTAGATTGATCATTTTCATATATTGCTCCTTCTGACGCAATTTATGTGGCACTCTTTCCTCTATAGTTTTCCCAAAAAGAATGTCACTTTTATATATTTAGATACTCCTTCCGGTCCATAATAACTGACCATTTTACCTTTTTTATTTTGGTCTAAAATAAGTATCCATTTACATAATCAAGAATAAATTAATTTTATTTTTTCAAAATTTTTCCTTATTTACATATTCCAATGTGTCAAAGTAACAATAATTAAGGTTAATTTAGTGAATACATCTTTTTTTCTCTGGGAGTTCGTATTTTCTTGATGAGTGTGCCGAAGGTAAAATGGTCACTTACTGTGGATCATAGAGAGAGTACAATTTAACTTTAAAATTACTATATTTTACCATTAATGCTGTGATTAGCCATAGAAATATAGGAGGTTTGTTTTAAATAACAAATTTTAATTTTTTTAAACTTCATGCCAAGTCAAATGGTGCCATATAAATTGGGCGGGGAAGTAAAATTTAAGTATGTCAATAAAAGACTTGATTCTTTTCAAATGTTAGTTCTTGTAATTGTTGCATCTACAAAAAAGTTTTTTCCAAAATTAAAATAGATGAACCTTATCCACGATTAATAAGATCTCGAGAAAGATTAAATAAATTTATTATATTATCAATTAAAAAAATTTATTAGGAGAAATCAATTACGAAATAAATTATTACTAACTTTGCATCATCAAAAGTTAGGAAACAACAACAATGAAACAACAATAATAATAACATACTCAATATAATCCCACGGATAGAATCAAAAGTTAGGAAAATTGATTTTAAATAAAAATATTTATGAAATTATATTTCTTTAAAAAAATTAAGGTCTCTTATCGAGGTTTGGCTTTAGGCCCTCACTTAGTTAAGCCACCCCAACTCAGAATTTTCAAAATATAATGATTTTAATCTAAGAACTTTAAAGATTAAACGTATTAAGTTAAAATCATGAATTCCCAATTGATCCGGTAAGAAAAATTTAGTGAAGGAGCTAAAACTTGACGTACATTATGTACAACAACTGGTACCATCTTTTTAAATAGAAATTACGGAAAATTCATGTATTAGATGTTGCTACTAAAGTTCTGGTTTTAGTTCTTTGTTAGTTTCTTGAAAAATAATGAGGAATTTTCGGAAACCACTATTGTTTTAGTGGTTATTCATTTTCTATAGCTACCATATATATAATTATTTCCTATAACTACTATTTAGTTATTATGCGACTGTATTCGCGCTACTGTAGTCATGAATACAGTAGCGGATGTATTCGCATGAATATAGTAGCGAAATTCGTCTAAAAACAGGGGAATCCAGCTGTTTAATAACGGAAAGAGGATCAATTAGTATGTATCACTCCTAATTTAACTCAACAAAGTCAATTCTACATAAATTTCGCTGCTATCGTGCTGTATTCCATGTATTCGCCCGACTGTATTTATAAATACAGTGAAGTGATCCGCCTAAAAAATAGGAATTACAGCTGTTTAATTCTGTTTTCCATGTATTGACGCGACCGTATTCATAAATACAATGAGGTAATCCGCCCGTATACATTGTATTCAATTTGAATGTATTCAAACAACAAAAAATTACAAAACACAATAATATTTTGTTGTATTCAATAAATATAGACTTTCGGAATACATAAATACGGGCGAAAAAAATAATGTATACAAAAATATAATGCACTTGAGTGTATTTGTAAAGAATACAATGTATTTGTCTCATTGTATGTGACTAAATAGTAAAAAAGAGAAGAAAGTTTGCGTTTTTCGGCCAAGCAAAATACTGTATACATTGTATTAAAAACTAAAAATAGAGGACGACCAAAAACCCGGCCCTCAAATCTTCTCCCGCCTAGACGGCCAGATCTGTTCGCCTAAGAGGATGCGTCAATTATGGATGATGACACCGACGACTATTCCGCTGATTTGGGGGAGAAGAAAGAAGATTGAGAATCTTGCTAATAGAGAGAGCGAAGGAAGAGAGAGAGAGAGAGAGAGAGAGAGAGAGAGAGAGAGAGAGAGAGAGAAGATAATTGGCGTATTTCATGTCTCAATGGTAGGTATAAATAAATACCTATTTTGTTATAAAATAGAAAAAGTAATTATAAATAATAATATTTTGAAATTATTTTAATTTATAATAAATAGAGTGTAATAGTTTGTTATAGGAGGTAAAATTTTCAAAAATAAATTGACTAAGTTTGGGTTCTCTCAAAAAATTTCCACCATTAAAAGTTAAATATAATGTATAATGCTCCCTCGGCACCTTACAATGAACAATCTCACATGATGTTTGAAGCAGTCCATTTGATTAACTGGCCCTTGGGACCCATCAATCTTTTTTCCTTTGGGAAAATTTGTTTGATTGTTGTAAGGTTGGTGTGAATTCGAATCCATGACCTAGCAAGTATTTGATATCTTTCTTCACTTTAGTCTGTTGAAAAAGAAACTAAGTTGACCTGAGCATTACTTAAATCATTTTTTCGAATTAAATCTTTTATCAATGTTACGCTAAGATAAGTAGATAACTATGAAACAAAACCCTTTTAAAACTATAAAAGGATATTAGTTTTTCAAAAAAAAATGTGATCACCAAAAGATTTGGTTATCCTTTTAAAGCTTCCTTTATATATATCTCAATTCATGTACCCTCTTTTTGACTTGAGAATAGCACCGTAGTTACATGGTAATTCGAAGGAGATGAAGTTATATTTATGGGGTAAGATGTGCTTATGTAATACTCCCTCTGTCTCATAATATGTGTCGTGATTCTCTTGTGTACGCCCCTTAAAGAAGAATAGTTTTTGACTACTCTACCCTTATTAAATATTTTTTCAATTTATGTATCATCTCTATCAATGTCATTATCCATATTTTTACTAAATGTGAATGCAATTGATTATTAAGGGTAAAAAAGGAAAAATATAATCAATTTTATCTTGAACTTCTAAAATGACATAATTTGAGATAACTATTTTTAGTAACCACGAGACATATTATGAGACGGAGGGAGTAACCTACTATAAAAAAGTTTGTCGTCTCTTGATATGCGCAAAGTGACAAGTAAAGATGAAAATCTATGTTTAGTATACATACCGAGTAAAAGTGAATGGAGGAAGTATATACACATATCTTTTATTAGCAAGCAAAGGAGGTGGTGGGGACCAGAAAATCTTAAGTATATTGAGTTTTTTTATTTATTAATAAATGAAAGTACTACTATAGTTTAATTGGGAAGAATAAAGAATAAATGGACAAAGAGAGTGGTCGTGGGTTTTTGGAGAATGGGATAGCTAGGGAGGATGTTGGTCTTTTGAGATCTCATTGGAAAGGTAATTAAGAACAATGGTCCATTATTTAAGGGCATTGATTTGGGTGCCCCTTTGGGTTTTGTTAGCCAGACCCCCCACATCTAATTATAAGATTGTCCATTCACCCCTTCTACATGTTATTACTCTTTCGCTTGGAAATTAAGGTGGGAAAATGTTTAAATTTGCTCTACCGTTTGAAATTGCTTAATTTTGTTTTTCATTATACTTTTGCTCCAATGATATTTTTGTCAATTGCAAATTATCTTTTATTTATCCTTGTCATTAATGGAGCTCAAGTGTAAAAT